CGTTAGTTCGTAGTTAGTTCGTAGTTAAATATGATCAGTGAACCATTTCACTTTTCGGTCCGTACCGTAAGTTATGGACCTCATATTGACAAATCATAGCATGAATATAATGATAGATAGATAGTTTATTGACTAAAAACATAGCAGCGATAGGCTGAATTACGTCTAGCTTACAATTACTTACAAATACTAATATATATAGACATATATAAATACAAATGGAAATTAATAAAGACTAAATGTAAAATTTCATGCATAAATTTATAGCATAAAATTTATAGCATAAATTAATACCTTAGTAACGATTACTAACCTTTAATAGTAAGGCGCACATTATGCCCAGCACCATCAATGGTACATATGCTAGCCCATCCTTAGCTTCTGTTTTACCAGCAAGGAATCGTATCCAGCTTAGGTTCTGGTCCTTGTAAGGAGGATAGCGAATCCTATTTTGTCATTCAACAAAAGATAAAATTGAATTAAAATGGATACATACCCCTTGTAAACTACCACATTTCTCAGGTGGTCGCTTACTTGAGTCAATTATACGAAAATGGACATAAAAAGTTTTCTTGACATTTTCTGCAGGTCGGTTATTGGTAGTTTACAGATTGAAACACTAGTAAAACTAGTAAAAATATCAATGGATGGAAATCAGTGGCAACGGATTTGACTTACGCATTTATCGACTCCATATTGAGTTTCTTGAGCATACAACCCTTCTTATGTGAAAAGGCATCAAATGAATGTCTGCCATGGTAAGCACCCATACCACTACCACCAACTCCACCAAAAGGTAAAGTATCCACTGCAAAGACAAAAAAACAAAAATTAAAAATTAAAAATAAGCTATTAATATCCATACACTAAGTACACATCAGCATATCCTCAAACTCTGCCTCTAAACATTAATTGCCAGACGAGTGTACCTCTTAAGATTTTTGTATAATCTTTTATTGTAAATGTTAGTAATAATCGCTGAAAAGTCGATATTGGATCGAATGGGTAAGTAAAAGAAATGGAGGGGATTTTTTTGGAATGCACTTGGACAGGGCGGGAAATTAATTAATTCAACTATTTTGACAGAAAATATTTGCATGGGAACCGGGGTAAAGTGCCAAATTAAACTATATGTGAATGTCCCCTCCCTGTCTTGGGTGTCTGGTGGTGCTGGTTTCAACTACCTAGTGCAAAATATCGACAAAAAAATGATTTCAGCCTAACTTCCACCCCATCCGTCCACAGAACCTATAAAGTTATTAGGTATGTTCAATAGAGTGAATACCATACATCCGCGAAAAAGTTGACTAACAAAATTGTACAATTTAGTGCAAAGTTTTGTAGGTCTATGGTCTACTGGTGTCTAGTAAGTTACTAATTTGTGCCAATTTCTGCATTTGCTTACAAAGTTTTTCACAGATATATGGGTCCGGATATATGGTTTTCACTTTAGTAAAGTCATAGTGTTTGTTACCAGCGGCATGGACGATAGTGTCATTAGCACAGAAACCACCAGAAGATGTGTTTTCCATTATGTAGTTTATTTTTTTCTTATCACTGGAAAATACGTACAGAGCCAGAGGCTTGTCTCTGCAAAAAAAAAACCAAAAAACAATGAAAAACAATTCCCTGAGTGTTGAATCCTCTCTACAATAATCATTGAGACAATTTTGGACAGTGTTGCAATGATTGAAATACCGCGTGGTAGTTTTCAGCCAAGCTTCTTAAACCCTTCTCATACAAGCAGGTTATTGTTGATAATAACCATGCACTTGGATATCGTGGAATACACCGTTCTCATAATGGCTGACAAGTGCACGAAAATGAGGTCAACCAGTCATTAGTTTACAATGGACCTTTATCACACGGCGGTCATGTTCATCCTCATGAGAATAAAAACCTTTGTTTCACCCGCATAAATTTATTCTCAAACTCTTGCATGCGAGGCTACGCGTGGTAGAATCTACTGTTCCAACCAACATGGCTGCCGCGTGAAAAAGGCCCATAGAAGAAATAAAAGCACATGAAATGCGTTTATAGAAGGAAAGTAAAGAAAANGTCTTCAAGCTTCTATCTTTTTCTGTTTTTTACTTCTTCATTTTATCTTTGGATACCAAACAAGGTATTTTCAACATTGTCTGATCAGCCTTCAGCAAAGTAAGTGGGTTTTTACCCGCTGGTTCCCCCCCAACGATGCAAAGGATTATGGGGATGTGAAAGTCGAGAATACTAGCTAACGAAAGGGAGGCTTTCTTTTGCAAAACATGTGGATGCAAAGCATGCAGAAGAGGCATCAAAAGAATACCTGCCGTACTTCAAACGTCTTTTAGACTTCAAGATATTCACAACCAAGATGAAAATTCTACAACCTTCCGTTTGTTTTCCTGTCTTTTCTTGTGAAAAAAAAAAACTAAAAATCTCTCTAGAAAAGAATGCGAAGCTTTGGAAAATTACGGCTCTCAAAAACATGGATAGTTTTTCGTCACTTTTCAACGTTTTGACTGTTTGAAGCAAGCCGGCCTTATGCACAATGGCTGATCATAAAGGCACACTTTCGACTCAGTTAAAAGATGTACTGCCCACTCTCCTGTCCACAAATGCATTCAATTCAAGTGAGAATATAATATTACTGAAATATGGAAATACTTCAAGAGCGGATGCGCATAGAAAACTGCTTTAAAACGTTAACGAAAGAAACCCRATCGATTCAGATAAGTTCAAACTTGACGCTGTAAGCTTGCTGAAATAACAAATTTACGATAATTCTTCTTGTAAAACTAGTTTTATTTCATTTACTGAATTTGCTATTCGCCACSCGTTAGTTCGTAGTTAGTTCGTAGTTAAATATGATCAGTGAACCATTTCACTTTTCGGTCCGTACCGTAAGTTATGGACCTCATATTGACAAATCATAGCATGAATATAATGATAGATAGATAGTTTATTGACTAAAAACATAGCAGCGATAGGCTGAATTACGTCTAGCTTACAATTACTTACAAATACTWATATATATAGACATATATAAATACAAATGGAAATTAATAAAGACTAAATGTAAAATTTCATGCATAAATTTATAGCATAAAATTTATAGCATAAATTAATACCTTAGTAACGATTACTAACCTTTAATAGTAAGGCGCACATTATGCCCAGCACCATCAATGGTACATATGCTAGCCCATCCTTAGCTTCTGTTTTACCAGCAAGGAATCGTATCCAGCTTAGGTTCTGGTCCTTGTAAGGAGGATAGCGAATCCTATTTTGTCATTCAACAAAAGATAAAATTGAATTAAAATGGATACATACCCCTTGTAAACTACCACATTTCTCAGGTGGTCGCTTACTTGAGTCAATTATACGAAAATGGACATAAAAAGTTTTCTTGACATTTTCTGCAGGTCGGTTATTGGTAGTTTACAGATTGAAACACTAGTAAAACTAGTAAAAATATCAATGGATGGAAATCAGTGGCAACGGATTTGACTTACGCATTTATCGACTCCATATTGAGTTTCTTGAGCATACAACCCTTCTTATGTGAAAAGGCATCAAATGAATGTCTGCCATGGTAAGCACCCATACCACTACCACCAACTCCACCAAAAGGTAAAGTATCCACTGCAAAGACAAAAAAACAAAAATTAAAAATTAAAAATAAGCTATTAATATCCATACACTAAGTACACATCAGCATATCCTCAAACTCTGCCTCTAAACATTAATTGCCAGACGAGTGTACCTCTTAAGATTTTTGTATAATCTTTTATTGTAAATGTTAGTAATAATCGCTGAAAAGTCGATATTGGATCGAATGGGTAAGTAAAAGAAATGGAGGGGATTTTTTTGGAATGCACTTGGACAGGGCGGGAAATTAATTAATTCAACTATTTTGACAGAAAATATTTGCATGGGAACCGGGGTAAAGTGC